TTCTTGGTGTGACGCATCGTCCTGCCATCCATTGGCATTTCAGTTACCCATCTGTGACACTGGGCGAACTGAACTATTAGTTACCATGAAAATGAAAAACGCCGATCACAGGGACCGCGCGGTCTAAGGCATGAAACGTCTTTGTCCGCTCAAACACTAGCGTCATTGGTTCGAATCCCACTCGAGACATGGATGTCTGTCCGCGTTACTTCTGTTTGTGTTGTCCTGTGTAGGTAGGGACCTTGCGAAAGGGCTGATCCCCCGTCCAAGGAGTCCAACCGTCAGACCCGTACTTCCACATTAATTCTGATGGGAAACAGGCCAGCGCCTAATATGAAAGGCAGGAGATGAAAAAGAGATAACCTAACGTCTTCCTGGTGAAAATGGAAAGGGTCACATTTGGCACTGCACATCTACAATGAAAATTTTACTGTGGCTCGTGTCGGCCCAGCAGGTCTTACAATCCATACCTTCACATAAGCTCACATCGAGTTCAATCAAACGTCTTAAAAACGACCCGTCGTAATAAAAAATGATAAAACGCTCCCTGTCGCCGACAAGGTAGAACTCAGTCGACGAGACCATTATAACGAAGTGTGTGTGGTCGTCGTGTTTAGAAACTTAGAGACGCCTTAGAAACATTCGACAAAATATTATCACATTCTTTTAACATTCAAGCGATGAAACTATCTGAAGAAATACTTGGACGTTTCTGCAAGCCTGCATCAGATGCAAAGCGGCTGTCAGCAGCAATAATTCGAAATAATTCGACGAAATTCTAGAAATGTCTTGTCGGAGAGCGAATCTACGAAAACGAATACAATTAATGGATCGAAAATGTCACGCCTCTATGTCGATGTTGTTTCGATGCTTTCCTGCAATCTGTTATTGTGAGACAGTCTCTAAATAAATGCGTAAGAAGGCACAGCGCTTATTGCTCTTCTTAGAACACTCTGATCTCCAAGACATCTCAACGGTGTTAAGACCTGCGCTGTAAATCCGGACTACTTCTAGGTGAATGTTCACAACAAGAAACAAAGTTTCATGTGTAGATAACTTTTCACTTAACAAAGTTTAGCGTTAGATTTTAAAGCTTTCCGAAACTTTCATTTCCCGAGACCAGCTATCGACGAAGCGCGTGTTGCTACTTCTGTCGAATGTTCATTTATTTTTCAGTCTTTTGTTCTCTGGCCTGTATAGATCTTTCACACTTGGGGACCAAGTTCCGCATGATGATAGTCTGAAAGAACAGCAGGCAAAATACGGAAGGAACAAAATGGTATAAAGTTGTAAGTTTCAACTTCACACTTCCTAGAGCCAGTAGGGTTATCACGACGCCACTCCTCCGTGGCCTTTAATCCGCAAGCGAACTATGCCGATCGAGAGACCGCTGCTTGTCGGCGAAGTCAGTCCCAACTTTTGTGGATAGAGGGTGTCGCGTGGTCAGCGCAACGGATTCCAACGGACGTCGATCTCGGTTCCTAGACCGGAATTTTATCAATCGGTACAACGATTTCATTTTCTTAGAGCATTAATAGTCATCTTAATTATGGAAAAATAAGGACTAATCGAAAAGCCTTATTCCCATACAAATTTCACAAATGTTTCTATTATTCTCCATTACTGAATGCAGACAGCGCACACCTACTTAACTAAATACACGCAGTGGGCAAGGTAAAGTTGTCCCTGTGCTCAACGAATTAAGCACTACGCCATGAAGACACATTGGGGAGTGGATGTATGGATCCATATTCTCTTGACCTCGGCACTAGTTGGAGGTGTGGTCAGTTTCACCCCCCGGCCGCTTTAACCCCGGGACCCATTGGATAGGAGGTTTGTGGACCTCAGAGCCGGTCTGGACGAGTTGGAAAACATTCATGACACTACCGGGACTCGAACTCCGACCCCTCTGTCGTCCAGCCCGTAGCCAGTCGCTATGCCGACTGCGCTACCCTGGCTCCTACACACAGTGGGTACGGAAATGAATTATATCGCTTACACAGTTCGTGAAATATGACTATGACTAATGACTGACATCCACAGTGCACACTTGATAGGCAACAGGCGTGCTAAAATAGACAATACATGTATCACAGAGGGACTACACTGACTTCATTTAAAAACATTCTAAATATGAAAACACGGATCGCAGTAGCGCGGAAGGCACAGAAGCCCCCCCCCCTGAAGATTTTCAACGCATTTGATGATGGCCGAGTAGGCCTAAACATGCAGTGCTGTGACGAAGTTTAAAAGGATTTAATAATTAACTGCGTGGCTTTAGTCCGCAAGCGAAGTATGCCGACCGAGCGACCGCCGCTTGTCGGCGAAGTTAATGCCAACTTCAGCTGATAGAGGGTGTCGCGTGGTCAGCGCAACGAATCCCCACGGCCGTTAATTTCTGTTTCCTAGACCGGAGCCACTACTTTTAAAAGGATTTTATATGAAACCTCAATATTGTTTCATGGTAGACACTAAGCAAAACTGAAAATACATTCTAATTTCAACTGCAACAGAATGCTAGTTTACTACATTATGACAAATACAATGTGCACGAAATTCGAGTATCATGAATATATTCTCTTCAGACACTTCCTTCTATACTGCTAATTATTGTGCGGCAACACTACCTGTATGAGCAAGAGCCGTGTTTAACTTCACGCAGCACCTGGTTACGGAACTGCCAGCTGTGAGGACAGACTATGCACATATCGAGGTTTGGGATATCACAGTCATTATAAATCTATCATACAGACATACAAACACATATAAATCACAAATCTGAAGCAACACAGATACGTAGAGAAATGACAAATTAGTCATTCTGATGAATCTTCGAGGGTATTCTCTTACGAGTAACACAATTACAAACACATAATAAACTTACAAAACTTAAATGCACCATAATCATCCATCCAACCATGCATCAAATCTACTATATAAGCCTCTAGATGCAAGATCATACAGAATCATAGAAAATTTCTCACTGCACGATACTTTGAAGGTTCTGAAAGGCAGGCTTCAGAATGGTGCAGTGAGGCACAGCACTGTAGTTGGGCTCAATTAAGATGTAACTGACTGCAGGGATAGTAAAATTAAATTGATTTCTATCAAAACTAACAATTTAAAAGCAAATTTAAACATTCTGTGATTTGTTAATATCACGAAAATTAAACTTAAAATGGGACAAGGAATCATATAGTTTTAAGTAACTTCTTAGAGAAGAGTTAACCTCGACGAACTACTAGTCGCCTATCTAGTCAGATCCCCCACATTTTATGAACACGCAGATTAGGCACAGTTTTCAGCAGAGCCCACCATTAAACTTTGATTTTCGAACGTTTCATTGAAGGTAAACAGATCTGACTAACAATCTGGTAACAAATTCTGGCACAATTTCTTTTACTGCCATCATAAAAATAAAACCCTAACTCAGGCAAGAAACCTTACAGTTGCTATTTATTTAACCCTTTGGGGGTGTGCACCCACACTGACTTCTACACAAAGGTGGAATGGCCATATTATGCAGCACACGGTAGCGTAGTTGGTTGAGGCACTGTGCTACAAGCCAGAAAGTCATGAGTTCGATTCCTGAGGGGATTTCTTTTTCAATTGATCTAATTCTTCCAGCTGGACTATGGCCCTGGGGTCGACTCAGCCTCTAACAGAAATGAGTACCACGAATCTTCCTGGGGCTAAAGGGCGGCTGGCGCGTGAGGCTGGTAACCTCACCACCATCTGTGAGCCGAATGTCTAGAAAATGTGGGATTCTCGACGTCTCACAACTCTGTGGGTCTCCGCAGCCTGTTACACGGATAGCTTTTTACACTACTAGCTATATTATGCACACAGTGAGTCATCCTGCCTCCCACAATGTAGATGCAACCACTACCCCCTTTCTTCTTGCCACATTTCTCCTCATGTACAACGCAGAGGATATAAAAACATGGCCTGTATATTTGCGTGGGTAAACATTTCAATAATTTCATGCACTGCCTTCACCGAAAAGCCTTACTTCCAGGGATGTGTTAGTTGATATGAAACCTTGAAAATGAAATGGTCTGTATCATATACATCACAGACTGTAGTCTGCTTGGTTATGACACTGATGTTTCAGGGGAACCTGCTGCTCACAACACAGGGTCAAAGTGAGTTTATAATGTGTATGTAATTGAACTAATTCTTCACTCTACACATTTTAAATGTAAAGAAGTAAACAGAATGTTCTTGTGAAATGTAAGATTTGAGGCTTTCACGGCGGTGACTATGAAGAAAGCAGTCTTCTGGGATTTGGCACCGTGTATATGTGGTGTTAACCGACGTTTCGGAGGAACGTATCGCCTCCATTTTAATTTTAAAGCTTTTACCGGTTCTCACGCTCTCTTAGCTTGCAGATTTCTTATATTTTTTCTTCTACCCTGAAAAATTAAAATGGAGGCGATACGTTCCTCCGAAACGTCGGTTAACACCACATATACACGGTGCCAAATCCCAGAAGACTGCTTTCTTCTTGTGAAATGCTGATACCCATATATAACGCTATGGCTAGATGCGCAGAAGCCAGTTTTCATGTATTGGTGGAATGGATGAGTTCACATTCATTTACAGCAGACATGAGGGGTAGATGGTTGAGTTCCCTGTTGGCAGCTGGTTTCTGCACTGGAGTGGCTTATAACAGGCTTACTAACTCCGCTGACCTCTTTCCCCTTCACTTCTCTTTTGTGAAGGTCTGTGCTATCACAGAGTAATCGAGATCTATACGGTGTTACAACCTACATGCCCACTATGAGAAACACTTCAAATGTTGCTACAACCAGAGCAGAGGTTGAAAATTATGCACTTATCTTTCCAATGTTTGATCAGAAACAAAATTATGATACAGAATTCATATCGAATGTCTACTTATTGCATATTTAATATGCTGTCAGTTACACCATTATGAACCCAAAAGTTGCAGTGAAGCCATAATCATTACTTCATACAGGAAAAAGAGGTAAACTCACGTATCATCAGGCGTGAGATGAACTGGCTCATCGGTGAACTCTGGCGGGAAATTGGCGAGGTCTCGATCCGACTCGAGACGAGGCTTGTACGGGGGGGCCACTTGCTTCTGCTCAAGCTGCGGACCAACAAGATGCAAGACTAAACTACGGGGGAGCAATGCAATCAATCACTATAGCAAGCTGCCTGTTCTGCCTAACACCTACCTACAGACTCACAGCATTCAGCACAAAGAGTTCAGAATCAGAGATGACCCCTGAACACAGGTGCTGCTTCTTACAAAAACTGCCTCAGCTAGGTGCAGTAGTATATAAAGAAACTTGACATTATGTGGATGGGAGGCTATTTTGAAAAGTCAGTTACTCTAAATTCTATTGAAAATATTCACAAATGAATGCAGGTTCTCTTTGTCATATAAACATTCTTTTGTAACAATTCAATATTGTTTAAAATTAATTTACTTCACAGCAACCAAATACCCTTTCCAATGGGTTAAATAATTAAGCATTTCTTGTAGAATCAGACATGTGTTTCAGGACCAATGGGGAGCAACTGTAAAAAGAGGCCAAGGTTCATCATAGACTGTAGTGCCTGAAGAATAAGAATAAGTAGTAGTATAAAATGATATTAAAATGTTAAATCCTACTGCTTAAAACGGCTGTAATGGTTGTAATACGTTTCCTATGTGTACCAGTAAGTAGCAGCACAGTCCAGCTTTGTTAAAATTTAGGTAGCAGATGCCCACGTGCATGTTCAGAGACTGTTTCAGCAGTCAAAATGGTGACCATGCATGAGGACATACTACCGAAGAGGAACGTTCTGTTGTGGTTTATTTTTGTGGGTATCAGGACTCAATGCAAAGGATATTAATAAAGAAATGTTTCCTGTTTACGGTAGGAAGTGTTTTTCACGTAAAGCGGTTCATAACTGGGTTGAGAAAATCTCCCAAAGACATTTGAAAGTCGCAGAGGTGTGGAAGTGCCTGAGACAACGGTCGAAAGACTTCTGTAATGCGGGTTCCAACGTGCTGGTAAAGCAATGGGACAAATGTATCAATGTTGGTGGAGAATACTGTCGCGTATTGGGGGTATAACGCGACAAATAACTTCACACCGTATTTGGTATAGCGAATTTTATTTCACATTCACACTTACAATCACCCAAATTACAGATTTACGACTACTGCTATCTGCAGTATCCCAAATAGTACACTCCAAATGCCACAATACAACTGACTGGTTGCTGGCTAACTCGGAACTAACTCGGAGGTAGCTCGAGTACTGACTCGGAGGTAGCTCCAGGACTGGCTCGGCGGTAGCTCCAGGACTAACTGACTGACTCAGTACAACTGACCGTAAATAGCCTTCGCTGCTCCTTATGTAGCCTTGATCGGACAATACGGAAAACGGCCACGTAATAGGCACCCTTGTTGCCTGGAGCTGTGTTGCTAGTAACGCTAGCGGTAGTAACCGCTTTTACTACTGTAACAATCCTGTTGCGTCACCGTTACGTTACCGTGCGGAGGAGGGGGAGGGGAGCGTTGACTCACCCGCCGCGTCACTGCTGGTGGGGGGGTTCTCCTTTGCGCAACATGTCACAATACATTGAGAAATAAATATTTTTTCCAGGTTCGAATATCACGTTTCATGTCTTATATCTATTTGTGACCTATTAACTGAGTCTCCCTCGCATATACTCCTAATATCTTATTGTATAAAGACTATCCTTATCTCATTTCTCCCAAATTAATACATTAATAAAAAAATGCGAGAAATGAGCTTCCTCAGGTCCTGAAACATATCCAACATCTGCCCAATCAGTTCTAACTGGAATAATGAGTTCTCTTCATCATTCACAAGCAGCACTCAGTACTACTTTTCTATATGCTGGCAGTGTCACAGAAATTTAGTCAAATTATTCAAAACATCTTTCATTTTTGAAGAAGCAACACCAGGGTAAGAGACATTTCTCTTCTGTACTCCAAATACAAACAGAACAAAACAGAATGAAATGGAAGGTAACGAACCAAATGAGGACAGTGCCGGCTTTGTATGGCCTTGTCACTTACGTATCGTCCGGGGTCAGCTGGACTGGCTCCAGTGTGAATTGGGGGTCAAAATTATCCAGGTCCAGTTCAGACTCCAAGGGAGGGCAGAAAGGGGGAAGGATTTGTTTCTGGTTCAGCTGCAAGAAAAAGACACACAGAAAGAATTGGTGCTGCATGAAAAGAAAGAGAGTAAGAAGATAAAACATGCAATGAATGAAGTGATGAAGAAGCCGTCTCCACCGGTAGACACTAGACATGCACACAGTTCCTAAGGTTTTGTGCACAGGATTCTTGCGGCTTGCCAGACAATTACAGACAAGTAGTGATGTCAGTTGGGCATTCAATTGATAAACCAATGACAAGCAATTACTTTTCTTTTTAAATTCACATAGTGGGGGTGGAGTCCAGCTGGGTCCACTCGGCACGGCGGCCACTGATTGGCCTATTGTACTTACCCCGGGTGATTATGATTATGGAGAATTTGGTGGAATGAAAATTGGAAGGGGAAACCGAAGTACTTGGAGAAAACTTAACCCAGCGCCACCTTGTCCACCACAAATCCCACTTGACCAGACCCAGGTTTGAGCCCGGGCTGCCGCGTTAAGTAATTACTTAGTATAATAAGCTAAAAGAAATACACACTGTCACAAACAATAGTGACTGATACAGTAATTCATTCAACCATTCATTCCTCCCTTCATAATAAGTATAGAGCATCTTTTCAATTTATATATTATTTAAATACTCTACAGCCATGAGTATTTAAAGTCTGGCTAGCTGCATTCTACAAACAGTTAAACACCTCAGTACTTAAAGGTCCACTTCAGTTCTTGGTACACAAACTTGTTTTCTAAATAAATTTAATTACAATCTTTTACCAATTCAAAGGCTCAACACACTACAGCACAATCAATTTCCATTTCTTTTTGGTAACATGTATGACATGAATTCTTTCTGGCTAAATCAGGTGCACCGATAAAAGAAATGACACTCAGAAAATCGTAACATGCATAGTTCTTTTCATCCCATACTTTTTCTCTTGTTTTAAAGATTTACGAATTTACTTATGATGACTTATTATGCAATTTGAAATAATGATACTTAAAGGTAAAGGTAAAGCTGTCCCTGTGCTTAACTAATCATGCACTACGTCATGAAGACATATGAGGGAGTGGTTGTATAGACCCACGTTTTCTTGACCTCGGCACTAATTGAAGGTGAGTGGTTACCTTTGCACCCCAGCCGCTTTACCCCCAGTGAAAGATCCCTTGGTACCCATTGAATATGAGGCTGGATGGGCCCCAGAGTTGGTCTGAATGAGATGGAGAAGTGTAAATCCTTGACCCTACTGGGACTCAAGCTCTGACTCCTCGCTTGTCCAGCCCAGAGCTGGTCACTATATAGACTTCACTACCCTGACTCTTAATAATGACACTTAAATGAGAAAATCATTTATCCACTGATAAAGCATATTCTAACATTATGGCTAATAAATACTATTAAGACAAAAGAAAAGTAAATAGCATTGCTTTGTCCAAAAGTCAATATGGACAACTGTGATGCAACAGAACATTTTTGTGCACAGGTTTGAAATCAGAATATTATAATCGATTTAAATAGCCTACTTTACTTTATGTTACCATACTGCTGCTGACTGATGTAATCAATCATGTCTCTCAACAAATACATATTAATTTTTTCTGTGCTGCCTTCATTCTTTATTTTATGAACTGGAAGCCCTGATGCTTCAGGACTGGTGGTGGGCTGATATGCAGCATGTTGTCTACCTTGGGCTGGAGAGAAAAACCTATCATAAACTCACACTAACTGAATAATACACTAATACATATGCAATATGAATTCTGAAGACAGAAGAAAGTGCTAACTGGATAAAAATGAAGCCTAATGAAACACAAATATGTGATTTACCACACTATTCTTACTCATAAAGATTAGTGAGGTGATAAAACTACAAATAAAAATTTGGAATTACTGAGTTCCTGGATTCTGCCCATCATCTAACATTTTAAGAGAAACATCCAGCGATTTGAGATTAGTTCTATCTCATGGTCCAAACTGAGTTGGTGACTTTCAGCTTCTTTGCCTGAGGACTGAATAGGTCCAGCCTCAGAAATCTTATGTTCTTTTAGAATATAAGATAAAGTTTGAAGTCCAGACCTTATTAATCCCTAGTGTACTACACTCTCATCAGAAGAGTTTAGAACTGACCTGCAAATAAAGTACTCGAGTTATATGAAGAGCATAGCAAACAGTGTTAGACTGAAAACTGTAATATTAATGCAGAAAATAACTGTTTACATTAGGAGAGAATAGATTTGTTAGATTAGGTTAGCTTAGGTTACAGGATTGAGTTTCTCAGGTCTGCTTTACTTGTAGAGCCTGTTTCTTACCTAGGTTCAGTGATGTTAGGTTAGTTGGTTGAGGCTTTCAAGTCTGTTTTACCTGTTGAGCCTTTCTATTAGCTAGATTAGGCTAGAGTGAGGGAGGGCTCTGAGGTCTGTTTCACTAGCTGAACTTGTGTGTTATTCAGGTTAGGTTCGGTCAGGTCAGAGGTTTGAGGCTTTCAAGTCCGCTTCATTTGTTGAGTCTTCTCCTAGCTAGGTTAGCTGATGTTAGGTTAAGCAGTTGATGCTTTCAGGTCTACTTTACCTGTTAAACTTTTTTTTTTCCTTGGCACTACAGCCCCAGTGGGCCTAGGCCTACCTCCTTGAACTCTGTTCACTTTGGTTTTTCTAGATCTTACACATACAGTTGGACTCCTTGGGCGAGTGATCAGCTCGTCGCAAGGCCTCTACCTGTAGACAAACACAGAAAAACGCACACAAACATCCATGCCCCGAGTGGGATTCGAACCCACGATCCCAGCTTCCGAGCAAGTGAAGACAGTGCATGCCTTACACCGCTTGGCTACCGTGACCGGGTGTTAAACTTTTATGCTACCTAAATTAAGTTAGGTTAGATTATGGGTTTCAAGTCTAATTCACGTGTACAGTTCGCCTTAGACACACTACTGTTGTCAGGCATGGTACCGTATTCATGCCCAGACAATG